TTTGGCCTTTACTTTCTACTTCCTCTTGAGTTCCTCCTTCAGGCCCTGGTACTTCTCCAGCTTTTCATACTCCTTCTTCCTGATGTTGCTGTCACTTGGCACTGCTACATCTATCATCACTGCGGTCTTCTGGTCCTTGTCTTCTACCATGATGTCTGGTTGATTGGCCAGTACCAGCCTCTCTGTCTGGATCTGGAAGTCCCACAGGATCTTAGCCCTGTTATTCTCCACAACCTTTTGTGGAATCTCCTATCTGGACTTGGGGGGGTCTAGCCCATACTCTGTGCAGATGTTCCTGTACACAACGCCAGCTACTTGGTTGTGCTGTTTGGTGTATGCTATTCCTGCCTGCATCTTACACCCTATCACTATGTGTTGGACTGTCTCTGAGGCCTCTCTGCACAATCTGCACCTTGGGTCCTTTGCTTCTATGGATCTGGTGCTTAATGCCTGTTCTTATGCTGCTATGATCAGTGCCTCAGTGCTGTTTTTTAGTCCAGCCTTTTCTAGCCACTGGTAGGATTTCCCAATGTCAGCCACCTCAGCTATCTGTCGATGGTGCATCCTATGCAGTGTCTTGCCATGGCACTTCCTCTGCTTGAACCTCCTCCCATGTCTGCTGCTGCCTCAGGGATTCTCTCAGCAGCTCATCTTTGGGTGCCATCTTATTGATGTACTCCTGGATGCTCTGGGTTTCATCTAGGACAGTGGCTTTGACACTCACCAGATCCAGCATGCCCTCTTTCCAGCTGGTGTACAGTCTCTGGGTGTTGGACTTGGGGTGGAAACCTCATTATGAGGAGCTTCCAGGTCTTCACTTCGGCAGCCTCCATGTCCTCCTTTGGCCAGCTCACTATACCAGCAGGGTGTCTGATGACTGGCAGGGCATATGTGTTGATGGCATGGTTCTTGTTCTTCCCATTGAGCTGGCTCTTCAGGACCTATCTTATCCTTTGGTGATAGGTTGCTGACTTCCTTGCCTCCTCATTGTGGTTCCCATGTGACTGT